TATATATATAAATTTAAGAATAGTAAACAGCTACAACTATTAGAACATCAATTAGCTTAACAACATCAGCTATATATATATATACATAACAACACACATCTCACATCATTCAACAATAACAACAGTACACATCGATAGATAGTAGTAAACACACAATGCGTCGTCACGCATATCAGCTCGGAGATCTCCTACAACAGCTTAGCCTTACGGCCTACAACAGCTCCTATCAGCACGGAGCACAGCACCGACTTAACGGCTATAACAGCACCACAATAGTGGCTAACAGCACCGACATAGCGGCTATAACAACACCACACTAGATACACATAAGTGACCGCTACGTGTTTGGCATGAAATTTAGAGTACCCATACTTCAAAAATAAATATTAGTATGTTGAGTAGTATATAAATAAAATATCAAATATCCATAAACTTGACACCTTGAAGGTTTTGAATTAAAATATGATGTCAAGTTCATTGTGTAGTTTGTTCATGACTCATTGATGGAGTTTGTCTTGATGTTTAACTTCCTTGTATTTTCAATAATTGGTATTTGATTTGATTATTCAATTAACCACATGAATTCACTACAAGAAAAACGCAAAATTTTCAACAAATATAATTCATCGAAAAAAAATTAATATCTGTTAGAAAAAGGGGCCTTTGAAAAAAAAAACGTCGAAAATAATTTAATCCATCAAAAATTATTTTAAAATCTTTAAATGATTCCGTTGACAGATAAATTCGTCGAAAATTTTTTGTTTAATTTTAATAAATTTACTAATGTAACAACCCTCATATTTGGTTTCTCAAGGATTCTATTTCACAACATTTTACTTTTTTAGCATGTTTTATCCTTACTTACACAATTTCTAGGAAGCTTCCCAGAAGGTCACCTATCCCTATATTACTCCAAGTCTAGCACGCATAACTGTGGAGTTCTGATGAGATAAGCTATCGAAATGTGTGGAAGAACGTATGTAAAGAATTTTGATGATGCCAAAGAAGTTAAAGAAAACAAGAGGTCAAGTTAAAGCAAGGTGATCAAGAAACAAAAGTCTCAAAAAAATTTAGATAAGTCTTGTCAACCTAGCTTAATATGTAAAAAGAAATCTTTAGAAATATTGCATAAAGTTCTTGGCCATTTAAAATAAAGAATTTCAAAGAAAACCCAAATATAATTTTTTAAATAAGTTTTTGAAAATAGAAGTTTTTCAAATCCTCAGTTGTAACAATCTGGTAATCGATTACCAGTACATGTAATCGATTACCAGAGAATGGATACTCATATGTTCAAATTTGAAACGTACTCTGGTAATCGATTACCCATTCCCTGTAATCGATTACCAGAAGATATAAACTTCAAATTTTGAATTTAAATTTTGCAACGTTCTAATCTTTTGAAACTAAACCGTTGTAATCGATTACCAAGTCTTGTAATCGACTACCAGAGGCAATTTTCTGAAATATTTTA